CCCCTTACCTCTTCCCTTCCTCCATACGTCACTCAACCTCTAAACTACGTTCTGCTTTCTGTCCTCCCTTCGCCCTACTTCTCCTTGCCGCCTCCCTTTTCTCCCAGCCTCTGCTGGACCTTCTCTTAAACCTCCCTCTGCCCTCCCTCGCCTGGCCACCTGACTCCCCTTCCTTCGACCATTCTCCGCCTGACCTCCTTCCCTCTATCTCCTCCGTCCTCCTCCTTCCTCCCCGATTTGCACTGACATCCTCCTTCCCCCAATCTCCTTCCTCCCCTTCCTTCCTTGGCCCGATCTCCACCTGACCTCCTGCTTTCGCCCTACTCTCTGCCGCCTTTCCCCTTCCTACAGGCCTCCTCCACACCTTCTCTCCAACCTCCCTCTGGCCTCCGTCCGTCTGGCCGCCTTATTTCCCTTCGCTCGCCCCCTTCGTTCCCCTGATGTCTGTCTCACCTCCTCCTTCCCTCGATCTCCTCCCACCCCTTCCCTCCTCAGCCCGATCACCACCTGACCTCCTACTTCCATTCCTCCCTCCGTCCTAGTCCCTACCTCCCCCTTCCTCCCTCGACTGGCCGCCCTTTGTCACGCCCGACCTAAGAAGTGCTGCTTTGTCTTTATCCGGTGAAAGTAAACGCTCCATTTGTTATCAAGATCGCTCCATTTCTTGCAACATCTCCACACGGTTGCACACGGGCAAGAAGGAGAGAGGGAAAGCAGGAGAGAGAAAAATGCATTTCACCCAACACACTTCCTTCCTCACAACTTCTTTGTCCTTGTCTATCTCTTTTCCACCACCACGTCTCCTTCCTCCTCAAGATCTTCCTCCTCAACATTCTCCCTCCGTCTTTTCTTTTTGGAGCGGCCTTATGATCAACTACCCTGCGCCAGGTATTTCAGGCTATCGATATTTCTTTCCAGATTTCACTCTCTTCCTCCCCAATCCCTACACACACCACACTGAGTCAGCTCTCTCTCTCTCTCTCTCTCTCTCTCTCTCTCTCTCTCTCTCTCTCCACACCCCTCGCTGTGTGCGTCTGTGTGCAACCGCACACGCGAGAGCACATGCTCGCCCTTATTCACATTGAAAAAAAAAAGTGGCGCTAAGCCTTAACGCAAATTCAGAAAGCTAAGAAAAACGGAATGCACTCTCCATATCGTCCCCAAATAAGAGAGCAAGAAGCAAGGGAGGACGGAGGGCCGAGGAAGGTAACGCCACCGGAGGGAGGAGGCGAGGGAGGAAAGAAGGAAGGAGAAAGGGAGTAAGGAGGGAGAGCCGATGGGGCAGGGGTGACGGAGGGAGGGTCGAGGCAGGAATGGAGGACGGGCCGAGGGAGCAGGGATGGTGATGGTGCCTCTGGTGCGTCTGGTGTCTCTCTCTCCCTCTCTCTCTCTCGATGGAGGGAGGAGTGAGGACGGGCCGAGACACAGAGAGATAGAGATAGATAGATAGATAGATAGATAGATAGATAGATAGATAGATAGATAGATAGAGATAGATAGATAGTAGCGTTAGGTCGTAGGTCCGTTTGTCGATAGCGAGGGCGTCGTCGTGCGAGCGAGTAGCGTTAGGTCGTAGGTCCGTTTGTCGATAGTGAGGGTGTCGTCGTGCGAGCGCGTAGCGTTAGGTCGTAGGTCCGTTTGTCGATAGCCAGGGCGTCGTCGTGCGAGCGCGTAGCCTTAGGTCGTAGGTCCGTTTGTCGATAACGTAGGGTTAGGTCGTAGGTCCGTTTGTCGATAGCGTAGGCTTAGGTCGTAGGTCCGTTTGTCGATAGCGGGGGCGTCGTTGTGCCAGCGCGTAGCATTAGGTCGTAGGTCCGTTTGTCGACAGCGTAGGGTTAGGTCGTAGTTCCGTTTGTCGATAGCGTAGGGTTAGGTCGTAGGTCCGTTTCTCGATAGCGAGGCCTTCGACGAACAGGGCCGAAAGAACCGTTGCCACCGTAGGGTTTTCCCGCCCTCGACTCGCTTGCAACGGGCGGCGACGGCCCGGGCCTACCGGCTGGTCCTTCCAATCGCACGTCGATCCGGGCCGTTCGGCAGGCCCGACGGTCCGGATGTTCGCGCGATCTTAAAGTCTTAAGGTCGCGCGTCGATCCAGGCCGTTCAGCAGGCCCAACGGTCCGGATAATCGCGTGGTCTTAAAGTCTTAAAACTTTAAGACCACACGAACATCTGGACCGTCGGGCCGAACGGCCCGGATCGCAGATTTCTGTGCTTAGCGATTTTAATAGTGAAGGGAAAAAGTTTGTTTTGAAATTTTTTCCTTTTTTTTCCTTTTTGTTTTTTGTTTTGCCCCGCCATCGGAGTGGTGAGCCATGAAAAGTTTAGGTTAACTCCTTTGTTGTGACCAGTTTTTCACTATTCTTTAGTAAAAGAGGCGAAAGAATAGTGATGAGTTTGCTCTTTTCTTTGCATATGCTTGTTTCCAGAAAAAAAAACTTTCATCATCTGGCTTGTTGAGTGTAAGAGAGAACTTTTCCATTGACACCAACGCACATGCTCATCTTCAAACCATCTCTCCCAGCTCTGATTTCCGTCGACACCAATGCCTCCTTTTCGGAATAGCCACTTCGTATAATCATCCAGATCATCAACCGTCCTGATGAGGGACCACGAAGCAAGCACAAGCACGAAGAAGCAACTCCGTTAGGGACAACTACCGCCCCTCAACACCATATGATCATCCAGGATCCTTAGAAGTCCTGATGAGGGACCACGAAGCAAACACAAGCACGAAGAAGCAGCTCAATTAGGGACAACTACCGACCCTCACCAGCATATGATAATCCAGATCATCAACCGTCCTGATGAGGAACTACGAAGCAAACACAAGCACGAAGAAGCAACTCGGTTAGGGACAACTACCGACCCTCACCAGCATATGATTATCCAGATCATCAACCGTCCTGATGACGGACCACGAAGCAAACACAAGCACAAAAGAAGCAACTCAGTTAGGGACAATACCGACCCTCACCAGCATATGATCATCCAGATCATCAACCGTCCCGATGAGGGACCATGAAGCAAACACAAGCACGAAGAAGCAGCTCAATTAGGCACAACTACCGCCCCTCACCATCCCTGATGAGGGACCACAAAGCAAGCACAAGCACGAAGAAGCAACTCGGTTAGGGACAACTACCGACCCGCGTCCCACAGTATGTGGTGAATCTCTCTTTTCTCTTTTTCATGTGGTGAATCAATCCAGCAAAATGATAATACCACGTACATTAAGTTCACCTGCTTTCTGTCGAGTTTTGAGCAGGCTTTTGCCTTGTGGTTCGCTATGCGGTATACCGCACCTATGACTAGTGCAGGTTTTCAATGCAAGGAAAACAATCTTAAGTTTCATTTCTACTCATGGCGCAAACACAGAGTGTCATGAATGCCATCAAAAGGCGCACAAGCACTTGACAGAAAAGCTGTGAACTGAGGTGCTAGTGTCTTAAAAAAAAAACTGCAATTTGCGAGATCCTACGCAAGCAGAGTACAGAAGAAGTGCCACAATCACTGCATGCAGAGTTCACGTCAATTCCATACAACTATTACAACCACCAATGCAACGAAAGAAAAACAGAAAAGGAAGACAGGTTGAGGATAGGTTCTTGAGTAAGGAGGCTCAGCTCAAACAGAAAGGACAGCAGGGGTAAAACAGCATGGGCGATCGGCGGACTTACTTCTGCCAATCGAACCCGGAAGGGTTGAAAATGAATGGAGCAAACAACCATGAGAAAGCAAGGAACCACGTGGACACCATCAGGAAGACATAGGCCATAAAGCTCTTTTTGCTGATTGGGCTCCACACCATGTAAATGGACAAGAGTGCGATGATCTCCACCCTGCGATGCAAGGGAATGTCACACACATCCATTGCATGCAATGCAACCAACAACAACAACAACAACAACAGCCGTCAGAGACAAGATAAGCCCGTTAAAAATAAAAATAAAAAAAAAAGAGCCTGTTGACACTTCATGACGCACAGAATCGCCAGAAATGGCCGCGACATCCTTTGGGACATCCGTTAAAATCGGAACGATACAGCGAAAGAAGATTAGCATGGCCTCTGCACAAGGATGACACGCATAAATCGAGAAATGGTCAAAAAAAAAAAAAAAAAAAGAAGGCCCACGACAAAGAAGCGAATCAATCAAGAAGTGTTCAATGACTGTGATGTTCTGCTTTTCGTGCTTGTTGAACTTGGTGGCAGCCTATCGCTCATTCTAAATGTGCATGCCATCAAGAAGACATGCAGTTGTTAAAAAAGAAGAAGAAGAAGAAGACATGCAGGATGTCCAAGGCAGTATATATGCCGTTCAAGAATGAGTATAGGGCCTCACCTGCAGACATTGTGCACACCTCCACATGATTGGGCATAGGGCCTCGCTACACCACTCAACAAATGCACAACAGACAAACATTGTGGCAGTGTATCTTTCCATGTTCCAGCGGATGCCTTTACCACTGCAACTGTGACCCAGCATCCAACACTGAAGCCGTACGGGTCTTGACATTCAATCCACCCCAGCATGGTTGCAGCAAGGACTTACTCATCAGCACGCTGACATCCATGCGATCCTCCGCAGGAAGCCTCCACAGCCTCCACGCACACACCATCGCCTCGACGAACATCCTCTGGCTGGTTAGTGCGGTCGTACTCCTGTTCAGAGTTGCAAGTTTTGTAGCCGATCGACCGGGGCAGATACGAGTGCTGGTCCTCTCTTGCGCTGTGACCGATATATCGTGTTGTTCGAAACATATCGTTTTGTTCGAAGCTTAGAATAGTTATTGGGTCAAGCAGCCCTATCAGCAGGACTAACACAAAAAGAAAAACAGGCAGCCAAGGAGCTGAGAGGCACGAACCGGAAGGAGCACAAAAATCAAGCCCCAAACACTAGAGCGAGCGGAATTCCCGATTAGTAAAAGATAGGAGAAAAGTAGCACAGGCTAACTTAGGCAGGGGTGAGGGGGTTCCTGATGGAAGCAATCAATGCCGCCCCTGAGCGTGAGTGTGTTCTCAAAAAGGGCAATTTAGAGGAAAGTATAGTAAAAATAGTCATCGGAAAGAAAGGAAGGGCTCACACCCCAAGCTAGAGAGAGGAAGAGGGTTCAGGGTTTAGGGTTTTCGAGCTTAAGAACAACACCTGTTTCACATTTTTAGAACCTAGGAACAGGTAAATCAATGAAGGACTAGGAATAGCGCCTTCCAAGAGAAACACTCAAGAAACAAACTGCATACAACAAATGTCCCGAGAAGCTTAGGGTTTAGGGTTTAAGAGAAGGCAAAAGGTATAAACCGCAGTTCAGATAAGTTTTTTACATTACCCGGCAGAGCAAGCAAACCCTTAGATGCCAGCTCTGGACATCAGCTCTAGCATTCAGGTTTATCCGGCAGCACTCAGCTGAGAGGAGCTAGGAGCCAGGCGACTCAGAGGATCAGAAGGTAGAGGACATAGGCTAACTTAGGCAGTGGTGAGGGTTGGTACATCCTTCCCTTGGGTAATCAATGCCGTCCACTCGGGCCTCTCAGCCAGAATGGGGAGGAGCGTGCGTGTGTTTTCATTCTATTCATATTTGACATGCCGGGGGAATAGGAACCAGACTGTTGCTCCCCAGAATGGCAGGAGCTAGAATCAAGAGGTTCTGTTAAAAAAAAAAAGAAAAAAAAAAGAATAGTTATTGGGGAAACTACACGGGAGTCACAAAACGAGTTATAATTGCACTACGGGCCAAGATACAGTTTCGAATTGCAGCTCGAGCAATGTATACAACGCAGGTTTCTGGCCAGGAAGGGTGCCCGGAGTGCAATTGCAAACTGTATCTTGCCCCATAGTGCAATTATAACTCGTTCTTGTGACTCTACTGAAGTTACCCCATAGTTATTGCTCCTGAAAATAATGCGCTGAGCAGAACCAACTGTTCTCTGCTATTCATCTTTAGGAGTTGGGAGCAAGGTTGTGGGTTCAACTCGCGCCCGAGCCCAACAATCCATTCAGAGTCCAAATCCTGCCTNTCTTTAGGAGTTGGGAGCAAGGTTGTGGGTTCAACTCGCGCCCGAGCCCAACAATCCATTCAGAGTCCAAATCCTGCCTGAGTGCGTGCATATAACGGGTTACTATCTTGAACACGGAAGTGGGGTTGTAATATGCTCATAGAAGCTCTGCCCACAACTTAACACACACGACGGCATTCCTTTGTATGAGACAGTAAGGTGGGCTCAGGCAAGATTTGAGTCTAGAACCTTTGGACAAAAACGAGGAGGGCGGATACAAACACTGGTCCTCTTGCGATGTGACCAATAATGTGTTGGTAGACACGGAAGTGGGGTTGTAATATGCTCATAGAAGCTCTGCCCACAACTTACACACACACCGACATTCCTTTGTATGACACAGTAAGGTGGGCTCAGGCAAGATTTGAGTCCAGAACCTCTGGACAAAAACGAGGAGGGCGGATACAAACGCTGGTCCTCTTGCGATGTGACCGATAACGTGTTGGTAGACACTTCGAATAGTTAATTTCTCCTGAAAATGATGCTCTAAGCAGAGAACCAACTGTTCTCTGCTATTCATATTTGGGAGTTGGGAGCAAGTGAAATCCTGCACATTTTCAAAACGAGCAGGTCCGGAGACAGCATAAGGCATTCATAAGACCTACCCCTTAATGAAATGGCTTCTTGCAAAAAGCCTGAAGTTCTCTGCGAAACGGATGTGAGCCACCACAAACCCTCTTCCGGTCGCTCGATACTGGCAAGATAAGCACCACCACCACAACATGAAAGAGAATTAGACATCTCAAGCATTTTGTTTGTTTGTTTGTTTGTTAGTTTGTTTGTTGATTTTGCTTGCTGGTGCAGCTGCAGTGCTGGAGCTAAGGCTTCGCTTCACACTTAGTGACATGTCCAACCGTTATGAGTCGAGACAGTTGCAGTACAACTTGCATCAGCCATACAGCTTCCGAAACCCCTGCAGTCTGTCAGCTTTTGAGAGGGAAGGATAGAAAGCACGTATCAGATTGACTGCTACTGAGGGGGCTGCAGGCGGCCAGATTACAGCCTCGCACAGGAACGAAAGAGCACCCAAGAACAGAAGCAGGAGGTGTGGCATCTGATATAATGGAACTTAGTACCGAATATGGTCAATCCAATAAGGCAATTGTATTGTTTTTTTTTGTTTTTTTTTTCATTTTTTTGAACCAACAAGGCAATTGTATTGTGATGTGCAAGGAACCTGCAATCTCAGCATGGTGCAAAAGACATCCCAGGTAGAAATCCAGTAGCTTAGGGCCAGTAGGTTGGGAAGGATATCCCAGTCCAGTCTGTTCGCGCCCATGTAGCACGGTGTCCACTAGGCTGGGTCGACTCCAGTCCTGTCGAGTTAGTCTGCAGCCCAGATTCCCAGAGTCCCAGGTAGGCTTAGGGTCCAGTACGTCGGATAGGTCCATCCCAGCCCGGTCCGTTCGGGCAGGATAGGTCCAGCACAGCCTGGTCCGTTCGGGCCCATGTAGCATGGGGTCCGCTAGGCGAGTTGGGTCCAGTCCAGTCCCGTTGAGTTCGTCTGCAACCCAGAGTCTCAGGTAGGCTGTCAAGAGGCCCAGTCCAGCCAGGTACAGGGTCAACCGGGTCTGAAGTTCCTAGAGCCAGGAGACCCAAGCACAGGAACAGTTGCTGTCAATCATTACTTCTGCTTGTGCTTGCGCGGGAGAGATGCTGCACCAAGGACTGACCAATCGACGAGTGACGCAGGTGGGCTGATGAGTTCTCCAGGTGGGCTGACGAGGTCCCAGGTGGGCTGACGAGTTCTCCAGAAACGTCAATAGCCAAGAGGCCCAGGCCGGTGAGATACAGGCTCAACTGGGTCTGGAAGCTCTGTTGTCACATACTGTACGCTTTCTCCTGCGCGAACCCTCTACTTCCGAGTTCGTTACCCTTGACAGAAGTGGATTGGTTACCACTTGCCCTTATGTTTGTTTTGGCGGGATCCATGAACTTCACTGTAGACCGAATAGGTCGCGAGCCTTTTCTGCTCTTTCCCAATATGCTGCGGTCCCCATTGAGTTGGTCTCAATTGGGTGAGTTGGATGCGGTAAG